ATGTTACAAATATTCAAGGGAATATACATGTACATGCATTAGGTACATGTACTGTACATGCACACAGTGAGTATTTCTAAGCTATTAATACAATACAATACATTAACATGACAACTACTCTACAATCACTGTATCACACACATGTACACTCTAAACTAATAACATTATACACATACCTTACTCCACTGGTACTCACTAGTATTCAGTAACCAACTATCATTTACTAGTTGATCATGTTTATCCTCTCCACCTATCATTACTAGTGTAGGTGAGTCACTGATGATACTAGTAATAGCATGATAATGTCTCTCCACAGGCCACTGTACACTAGCAGGTACTACTGGTCCCTTAACACTCTCCCAGTGCTAGATAAAATGAATCAATCAATATTATAAAATGTATTAATGCATGTACACTGTTCTATTACACTTAAGAGTTTGTCCATTTAATTATAAAATAATTATGTTAATACTAGTGATAATTGTACAGTTTCCATTAAAATAAATTATTAAACCAAATCTACATGTAATACTCATTTAAATACATTTTTCAAATTACAAGCTATACCCGTATGTACATGTATTAATGTCTAAACATGATTGATCCATGCAATAAATACATCCCATACAGTAATAAGATAACTTACTATTGTAGTATCAGACTCCAGTTGACATGTATAGACTGTATTAACAGATATATCACTTCTACCATCATCCCTAGGCACTACTCCACCAAACATGACAGCTTTATTATTAGAAATCTTTTGAATAGCAAAGGCAGCAGTAGGAGGACAACACTGACCACTAATAGTTGGAATAATCCATTGTCCTAAACAGAAATAGATAGTATAATTAGAATTATTAAGTATGAATGACGTTTCTGATTTATAATGATATTCATTGGGATACCGTAAATGGAAAATTTTTCATTCCGCCATTGTGGAGGCATTGCTGCACTGTTTTCAATGGAGCTTGATACACTTTCTGCCATTTTGTAAGAAGAGCAAGCAGTTATAACCTCAAAAAGTGAAAAATTGCAACCTTTAGCATTCTTTTCATAGGTCTGCAACTGTTTGGAGTCACTGGAGTGACGAGGAGAAGTAGAATTGACAGTTTTTAGCCTGTCAGTCCATTGTAGCAAGTGATAGTATACTTCCACAATGGTGGCCTGAAAAATTTTCAATTTACGGTATCCCAATGAATATCATTATAAA